ATTGTTAAAAACTCTAATTAACATATGTAAATGCCACATGCATTATTTAAAACTTTTAAAGATTCTAATTATCGCATATACCTAGCATATGCATGATTTAAAATTGTTAAAAACTCTAAGTAACATATGTAAATGCCACATGCATGATTTAAAACTTTTAAAAATTCTAATTATTGCATATAACTAGCATATACATGATTTAAAATTGTTAAAACCTCTAATAATCGTACGTAATTAACATATGCCATACAACAATTGATTTATATGGATAATCAATACATCCAAAATAGTTTACATCGTGTACACAATAATTACGGCAATACATCGACGGTGACGGTTGACCGCACGTACTTTCTCTTCACTATTGTTCCCTCCTTGTGATCGCTACGTGAGTAAGGGGTGTCTTCATTTGATAGGAGGATGCTAGGGTCAATCGTCACCATGAAAGGGGATTGCCCATCCAACTGATCTTAATCCTCGTCAGTCTTGTCCTCAACTCCGACGATTTTTCTTTTGCCTGGGAGAACCACATGATGCTTCGGCTCGTCAGGCCCTCTGCCCTTCTTTCCTTTGCTAGACATGTCCTTCATGTAAAAGACTTGCGTTACATCATTGGCAAGGACAAAAGGTTCGTCCGAGTATCCAACCTTGTTAAGGTCAACCGTTGTCATCCCACTGTCATCAATCATTACGCCTCCACCAGTCAACCTAACCCATTGGCACCGGAACAGAGGGACCTTGAGAGGACCATAGTCAAGTTCCCATATGTCCTCGATGGCACAGAAATACGTGCCAGTTGTTCCATCGTGTCCCATGGCATCGATACGAACAGCGATGTTTTGGTTCGTGCTCTTCATGTCTTGGGCTCTCGTGTAGAATGTGTACCCATTGATCTCATATCCCTGGAATGTCGCGATCGACCCAGATGGTCCCCTCGCCAGGAAGGCTAGTTGTTGGTTGATCGTCTCGTTACCCATGAGATGTTGTCGTAGCCATGCGGAGAAAGTATCAATGTGATGCCGTGTAATACATGCATCGGACTTACCGATGTTTCTGGCGCGAACTAGAGCCAAGTGCTCCTTGATGTAAGGAGCTACCAATGAAGATTGTTGCAGAACCGTGAAATGGGCTTTACGGAATAAATTGTTGTCTACCGTCATTATTGCTTTCCTTCCGAGAGTTCCCTTTCCCCGTAGTCTCCCTTCATGGCGTGATTCAGGTACCTCAATTGGGCGAAGGTCTTCAATAAATTCTATGCAAAATTCGATGACCTCCTCTGTTCCATACCCCTTGGCGATGCTTGCCTCTGGACGAGCACGGTTACGAATATACTTCTTCAGAACGCCCATGTACCTCTCGAAAGGAAACATGTTGTGTAGGTACACAGGCCCGAGAATACTGATCTCTTTGACAAAGTGACAAAGCAGATGCGTCATTATATTGAAAAATGAAGGTGGAAATATCAACTCAATACAGACAAGACATTGCACCACAACATTCTGAAGGGCTTCTAATCTATCCAGATCGATGACCTTCTGCGAAATTGCGTTCATGAAAGCACATAGTTTTGTTATTGTTGCCCGGACATTGTCTGGAAGGATACCCCTTATTACAACTAGTAGCAGTTGTGTCATCAACACGTGATGGTCATGAGACTTTAGGTTTGTGAACTTCTTCTCCTTCGTGCTTATTATTCGCTTGATATTCGTGGAGTATCCAGACATTACCTTTATGCTCTCCAAGCATTCAAACATACTTTCCTTCTCTGCCTTGCTAAGAGTGTAGCTGGCTGGACTCAAGTAATGGCTTCCTTTCTCCTTTGGTTCCGGGTGAAGGTCGCCGCGTTGTTCCATATGCTTCAGATCATTACGTGCTTCCAGTGTATCTTTCGACTTTCCATATATACCTAGGAAGCCAAGAAGGTTTACGCAAAGGTTCTTAGTGAGGTGCATCACGTCGATTGCGTGGCGGACGTCCAAGAATTCCCAATAGGGTAACTCCCAAAATATAGAGTTCTTTTTCCACATCGCCGCGTGACCATCTTCGCTCTCTATAGGCTGGCTTCCAGACCCCTTTCCGAACACTACTTTAAGATCTTTAACCATAGCAAACACTGTTTTCCCGCTGCGATGTTTAGGCTTCGTATGGTGGTCCGCCTTATGTTCAAAGTGCTTGCCTTTCTTCCGTACTGGGTGGTTTGCAGCAAGGAATCGACGATGACCCATGTACACAACCTTCCTACAGTGCTTAAGATACGTACTTTCTGTTTCATCCATACAGTAAGTGCAAGCCTTGTACCCCTTGTTGGACTGACCGGAAAGGTTGCTAAGTGCAGACCAATCGTTGATGGTTACGAACAGCAGCGCTCGTAGGTTAAACTCCTCCTGTTTGTCCTCGTCCCACACGGGGACACCTTCCTTTTTCCACAACAGTTTAAGATCTTCGACCAGTGGTCTTAGGTACACATCGATATCATTACCAGGTTGCTTGAGGCCTTGAATAATAATCGGTATCATTATGTACTTCCTCTTCATGCATAGCCAACGGGGAAGGTTGTAGATACACATCGTAACGGGCCAAGTGCTATGGCCGCTGCTCATCTCTAAAAAAGGATTCATGCCATCCGTACTTAAACCAAACCATATGTTTCGTGCGTCCTTTCCAAAGTCTTTAAATTTTCTGTCGATGTTTCGCCACTGCGAACCATCGGCGGGGTGTCTCAGCATCCCGTCCTGTTGACGCTCTTCAGCGTGCCATCGCATCATTCTATCATTCCCCTTGTTCCTGAACAAACGCCTTAGCCGTGGTATTATAGGGAAATACCACATCACCTTAGCAGGAATTCTCTTCTTTGTTAGCTGCCCATCAACTTCTCCTGGATCGTCTCGTCTAATCTTGTATCGTAGTGCTTTACAAACAGGGCATGCTTCTAGGTTCTCGTACTCCTCACCGCGATATAGGATACAATCATTCGGACATGCGTGAATCTTCTGAACTTCCAGCCCTAGAGGGCAGACTATCTTCTTAGCCTCGTACGTTGTCTCGGGCAATTTGTTTCCCTCCGGAAGAATGTTCTTGACGAGTCTCAATAAATCGCCAAATGCCTTGTCACTAACACCATTTTTTGCCTTCCATTGCAAGAACTCTATAGTTGTATCTAACTTTTTGTGCCCCTGCTCGCAACCTGGGTACAACGACATTCTGTGGTCCTCTAACATCTTGTCCAATTTATAGGCCCCCTTTTCACTTTCGCAGTCCTCCTTAGCATCCTGCAACATCTAACCAAGATCATCCGCAATGTCGTTACCATCAGCATCCCTTTCCTCCTCGCCCGTTTGATTTCCTTCAAATCCAGCGTACTGAGCAAAGTCCGGAATATTGTCGTCTTCCACTTCATCTTCTTCCATTTCAACCCCTTGCTCTCCGTGGGATGTCCAACAGTTATAGCTTGGCATGAAGCCCGACTCAAACAAGTGGAAATGAATAGTCCTGGATGCAGAATACTCCTTATGATTCTTACACTTATTGCATGGATAACAAATAAAACCCTTATGCCTGTTAGCTTTGGCCACTCTCAAAAAATAATGCACGCCGTCAATAAACTCTTTGGACCGCCGGTTAGCGTACATCCATTGCCGATCCATCTACATGAGATGAAAAAAAATCGTACACAAATAATTATTCGTACAATAATGACAGTTTTAAAATAATTACAAACTCTTTCAACAGTCATACAATAATGACATATCATTATTCATACAAAAATTATAAAATATTACACCAAATAATTCTTATTTACTATTTCTAAAGTTTTAAACTAATATTAATGTGTTGTACTTCTTTTAATTTTCATTTTAGTTTGTTTTCTATTATTTAAGATTAACTTTCACTATATTTTTCCTTCTCAACTATTTTATAAAAACCTTCTTTAGCAAATAAACTAAATTTCTATATATTCTTTCTTCCCCCACACAAATTTTCTCTCTCATCAACTTACAACTAAATTTTGGAGACAAAAAAGTGTGCAAAACATAGCTCCAAATGTAATATGACAAAAAAAACATTGGAGGATGAAGTTGCTAACCTTTTAGGCACCTCCGATTTGTATATAATCACCAAAATAAATTCACTAGAAATTTTGGCATGACCTCCCCTCTTTTTTGAAGAAATTTTGAAGCTTGCTCGGGCAGCTGGAGGAGGAAGAAGACATATATATAGGGGTGGGACTTTAGTCCCGGTTAGTGTTATGAACCGGGGCTAAAGATCCCCGGGATCTTTAGTCTCAGCGTAACCAACCGGGACTAAAGATCCCAGGGGGGCCTGACAAGCCCTGACAGCATTTGAACCAGGACTAAAGATGATCTTACCAACCGGGACTAAAGATCAAATATGGCCGTTACCCTTTTTAACCGGGACTAAAGATCATCTTTAGCCCTGGTTTTTATTGCAACCGGGACTATTGTGGAATTCGGCCGACCGACGAAGGATGGTTTCTCCACCAGTGACATGTGTATGATAGATGGGACTAGGTATTAATTGTGTAGTATATGTTTATAGCTAACCATTATATGACTTGACTATTAGAATTAACTATAGATGATTTAGAGCCCATAGCTGGCCATACTAAACTTGCTCTTCACTTATAGGCACCGGATAGATATGAAAAAATGTAGAAAGTACTGTTAGCGCTTACCGTGGCTCTTTAGGTAATATGGAGATCAACCGAAAGAGGTCGTGTCTCAATTGTAAAAATAATATATACCAAGGGCATAAGGAGAGGCAGATAGCGACAAGGAAGAATTTTCAAATGCTTCTAGTCGTCCGTATACGTATTAGTGCCGGCTAGTATATGTCTGTCTGTGTGTCTGTCGTGCATAATCCTACTGTCACCACTTTATCCCTTTACCAAAGCTGAAGGAGCCAAAGCCACGATAAGAGGAGATCGCTACCTGCAAAGAAGAGAAGAGTCCCCTCTTTCTCTCTCGCACCCAGTAAAAGCGGTTGCTAGAAAATCCCCCAATAACAACAGCACTCTTCCCTCCCTCCTCGGTCCCACAAAAAAAAAAGCAGAGAGACAGATAGAGGGTGAGAGAGCCAGTGGGATAAAAAGAATAATAGATGGGGGCCGGCCCAGCAGGCTCCTCAGAATTGACCAAGCTGTGCTCCTACCATTTCACATCACAAGTAGCAAGCCAAGTAGATTGTTGGTTTGCTTCCCTTTGCATGTTTATAACCCCATGTCACCACCATTTCACTCATTTGCATTGCATGGTAAACACAACACAACTAGCTAGTTTAGATCCCCTTTGCATCCATCGATGATCAGTTGTTGCAGGACAGTGTAGTGAGGTGAGAAAGATTGTTGTAGTAGCTGCTGTGCTGTATGGTGGTAGCCAGTGAGTAGCTACTACACTGCACTGCAGTTTGCACCCCGGCCATATGTTGGCTACTACTACTGCAGGTGTCTTAGGTCTAGATGGATACCCTCTTCAGGTTGGTTAGCCTCCACCACCATCACCACCACCAGCACGCGGCCTCACCGTCGCCGCCGGACCAGCCGCACAAGTCGTACCCCTCCTCGCGAGGGAGCACCAGCTCCCCCTCCTCCCACCACACCCACAACCACACCTACTACCACCACTCCCACTCCCACTACAACAATAATAGCAACACCAACTACTATTACCAGGGTGGTGGAGGCGGCGGCGGAGGGTACTACTACGCGGAGGAGCAGCAGCCGGCGGCGTACCTAGAAGAATGCGGCAACGGCCACCAGTTTTACATGGATGAAGACTTCTCCTCCTCGTCTTCCTCCCGCCAGTTCCACTCGGGAACGGGCGCGCCGTCGTCGGCGCCGGTGCCTCCTCCTCCGTCGGCGACGACGTCGTCCGCGGGCGGGCACGGGCTGTTTGAGGCGGCGGACTTCTCGTTCCCGCAGGTTGATATCAGCCTCGACTTCGGCGGCTCTCCGGCCGTTCCGTCGTCGTCCGGTGCTGGCGCCGGCGCCGGGGCAGCGCCGTCGTCGTCGGGGAGGTGGGCGGCGCAGCTGCTGATGGAGTGCGCGCGCGCGGTGGCGGGGCGCGACAGCCAGCGCGTGCAGCAGCTCATGTGGATGCTCAACGAGCTGGCCTCGCCGTACGGCGACGTCGACCAGAAGCTGGCCTCCTACTTCCTGCAGGGCCTCTTCGCGCGGCTCACCACCTCCGGCCCGCGCACGCTGCGGACGCTCGCCACCGCGTCGGACCGGAACGCGTCGTTCGACTCCACGCGCCGCACGGCGCTCAAGTTCCAGGAGCTCAGCCCGTGGACGCCGTTCGGGCACGTCGCCGCCAACGGCGCCATACTCGAGTCGTTCCTGGAGGCCGCGGCGGCGGGCGCCGCCGCCTCCTCCTCCTCGTCGTCTTCATCGTCGACGCCGCCGACGCGGCTGCACATCCTCGACCTGAGCAACACGTTCTGCACGCAGTGGCCGACCCTCCTGGAGGCGCTGGCCACCCGGTCCTCGGACGACACGCCGCACCTGTCCATCACCACCGTCGTGCCCACGGCGGCGCCGTCGGCGGCCGCGCAGCGCGTGATGCGGGAGATCGGGCAGCGCCTCGAGAAGTTCGCGCGGCTGATGGGCGTCCCGTTCAGCTTCCGCGCCGTGCACCACTCGGGGGACCTGGCCGACCTCGACCTCGCCGCGCTGGACCTCCGCGAGGGCGGCGCCACCGCCGCGCTCGCCGTCAACTGCGTAAACGCGCTGCGCGGGGTCGCGCGGGGGCGCGACGCGTTCGTGGCGTCGCTCCGGCGCCTGGAGCCGCGCGTGGTCACCGTCGTGGAGGAGGAGGCCGACCTGGCGGCGCCGGAGGCGGACGCGTCGTCGGAGGCCGACACCGACGCCGCGTTCGTCAAGGTGTTCGGCGAGGGCCTCCGCTTCTTCTCGGCGTACATGGACTCGCTGGAGGAGAGCTTCCCCAAGACAAGCAACGAGAGGCTGTCACTGGAGAGGGCGGTCGGCCGTGCCATCGTCGACCTCGTGTCATGCCCGGCCTCCCAGTCCGCCGAGCGCCGGGAGACCGCCGCGTCGTGGGCGCGGCGCATGCGGTCGGCGGGGTTCTCGCCGGCGGCATTCAGCGAGGACGTCGCCGACGACGTGCGGTCGCTTCTCCGGCGGTACAAGGAGGGCTGGTCGATGCGGGACGCCGGCGGTGCCACGGACGACGCCGCCGGCGCCGCTGCTGCCGGAGCGTTCCTTGCGTGGAAGGAGCAGCCTGTCGTGTGGGCGAGCGCGTGGAAGCCATGAGATCGATCGATCCAACAAGTCCAAATCCGCCATTGCTGCAAATCATCGAGCCTGCGATGCATCGTGCATGCAATACACAATATGGATCATGCATATCGCACGTGCGGGTTGAATGGGAAGAGGAAGCAGCGCGCGCGTGTACGTACTTAGGGTTTTTCAGCCAGCAACGTACGTGTGTAGTAGGGAGAGGAGGTAGCAAAACACATCAGATGGATTAAGTTAATCAATCACCAGTTATTACTAGAAAATTAATTTGGAGGAATTAATTGGCATTTATTGTTCTTGCATTACATGTTTATTAATTATTAGATGCTTCCTCTGATTATTAACTTTGTGAATTCAGGTGTGTTCAATTTAATTTTAGCTAGCTAGTAGATATATCGATCCTCAGGTGATTTATTTGTAGATCTGAATATTCCATGACTTGTATAGGAGCTACTAATAGTTTATTTGTTTTACCGGTTAACACTGAATCTGACGTACTTGATGCATGGTTCGATATGTGTAGCTAGCTTGCTTGCATGTCGTTGGTTTGGACTGATGCGTGCAACTCCTAGCAGATAGCTCGTTTGCTGTAGAGATATGTCGCTTCATCTGATATGTTTGGCTCATCAGATGACGCTTAGTGAGTCAAGACAAAATCGATCTGCAAAGGTATCGATCGAAATGGACGACTTTTGCACGTCGATCGTCCTATTCTATATTATTACTGCTTTCGAATTATTCCTTTCGGTTTTTAATAATATATATGATGCCATTGATTTTTTATATACGTTTGACCATTATTTTTTTTTTCAAAATTTATGTAATTATTATTTATTTTATTGTAACTTGATTTATCATCAAATATTCTTTAAGCATGACTTAAACCTAAATCTTTTATATTTACACAAAAAATTTAAAGAAAAAGATGAATAGTCAAACGTATGTAAAAAGGGTTAATGCCATTATATAATAAAAAACAGAGGTAGTAATTAACAACGTATATATCGATATATATACCGCGTGTATATGTAAAGCAGAAATTATTAATTCGCTCGTGTACGTGCCGGCCGTCTGCAGAAGTAAAGCGACACATCTAAGTCAAAAGATAAAACAAGAAACGGAGAAAAACAGTACTACAAAACAGGTTTGCTAGAAGATGGTTTTATATTCTTGATCAATACTGATCGACACACAATGGAGTTCATAATTTAATGAGTTAACTTTCTATACATGAAAGTACATAAAAGAAGGCAAACACAAATTAGCGTATAAGTGTGATTTGTTTCCTTGCAGCTGCCATAAAATTAATAATCGATCGATTAACTTGTTGCATGACAAATGGCACCATGTATTCTTAATCAATTGCTTCCATACACTAACAAATACACATATACCTGTGAAAGCAGATAGTGAATCATTGCCTGTTTAACTTTTGTTTCATTCACTGGAAATTTGGAACATGTGTACGTATTTGTTCTGGTATATGTCGAGGATCTTTGAATAAATTGGAAAGGATATACCGAAAGCTAGCTTAAATATTGCTCCGATCGAGAGAATTTGTTCACTAATCTTACTGCTTAAACTTCTGTAGTGTTTAGAAGAATATACAACTAACACAATTAGGCATATATATTAAGATCATTCGCTTCAAACCTGCAATTAACTTATTTTAAGTACAGGAAGTACGCCATCACACTAGTTCAGAAACATTATAGGACACTATAGGATTATATATGTTTCGAAGAATAAGAAGAGACATGGTGAAGGGAATGCCTCATATCTGTAGGATAATTAGGATTAGGTGATGCAGTGAGATGTGAGAATGGAGTTCTGCATACATGCATCCCACAAGTTGCACAATATAATATTTAGGACTTCATATACATTGCAGGTATATATCTATCTATTTCTTTGTACCAATTAAAAACTCTCCTACAATCAATCACATTAATTTTAGAGTAAATTGCATCAGCGGCCCTTAAACTTTAAACGAGGTTTCACCTGTGTCTACGAACTTGTAAAACGTGTGTCGAGATCCCTAAACTTGCTTTATTAAACTTACTTTATTGTATCATCCCGGTCAAAAATCTCGTTTAACCATGATCTTGTCTACATAGCATGTTTGTTAGTTCCACATATTATTTATGCATTAATTAATTAATTAATTAATTAATTGCAACATTATTGATAAAAAAATATTAATAAAAAATTTGGCGGGAAAATTCAAATGTGGCATATATTTTCCTAGGCGGCCGATCTAAATTTTCGCAGGTGGACCCTCCCTCTTTTCCCAAGCGGTGAGTCATGCTCCATGCCGCCTGGGAAAATGATCTTTCCAGGCGGACCAGCGGAATGGTCGTTCGCCTGAGAAGACTGATTTCGGCCACATGCAAAAAGTAGTGACGATGACATGACATATTTTTATTTTCTTCTCCCTTCTTTCTCTTTTTTTCTCTCTACTTCCTCTCTCTGGCAAGCAGAGCCATCGGCGGTGGCAGCCCTGTTAAGGATTCTTCCAGCCAGCCACCAGTATCACCATTGCCCACCATCGTCACCGTTGCTACCACTTGTTGGAGAGAGGAAGAAGGAAGAAAAAACATAAAAATAAAAAGTAAAAAATGCACCATGTCATCGTCCACGTGACATGCCACATAGGTAAGATCATGGTCAAACGAGACTTTGAACCAAGATGATATAATAAACCAAGTTTAGAGATTTTGATGCACGTTTTACAAGTTCGTGGACCTTAGTGAAACCTCATTATAAGTACCCTTTGAAAAGAAAGCGCCCTTAGTACTCCAGTTTGGATTATATGTAGCTAATTGTTAAAAAAAAGTTGTTTAGACTTTAATTTCTGGAGAAGGTCTGAATTATGGTTCTAAACTATTGCGACTGTCCAGATTACCCCTCTAAGAACAAAACAGACATTTGACAACCCAAGTTCCTCAATCTGAACAAATAAACTAAACCACAACCCCTCCCACCCCTCAAAAAAAGAAACTAACTCAATTCGAAGTGGTTTGAGACCTACAGAGTGCACATGTGGCAGTCCAGTTAGAAAAATACAAAAACAAAATGATGGGCCAACAACCCTCACTCTATCTATCTACCTGTCTCATGCGGTTGCTCTGTAACACGGAGAGGGGGGAGATCCATGGAGGTGGTTGTTGGAGACGGAGGCTAGCAGCGGATCTCGAGCTCCCCTTGGGTAGCTTGGTGAAGATGGTAGCTTTTGGTAGAACTCTAGCTTGCTCTCGACATCTCTTTGGGAATTAATGGAGGCAGCCACCAGAGGTGGAGCTCATGCTCTGGGCGACCATGGTGGCAGCTACTAAAGGAAACAGAGAAGAGCGCCATGGTCTCACATGCTTCCATTACCCACACCATCATTGGCCTCGCCGTCAGGCCGTCATCACAGATCTACGTCAGTTATCCTTCCGCCGGCTTCCTCCAACCTCCTCCATGCTGCCCGAGAGGACCGCTTGGCCACCGCACACCGCTCTGGGATGTCATGACAATGGAGATCGATAGGGTCAGCAGTGTGGCACGCTTTCTTCTTGCGAGACCTGGTGAGCTTCTCCTTGAGCTCAGCATGGGTTTACCCTAGATGGCACGGTTGTCAAAGCTCCTAGGGTTAATCCTACCCCAGGCCCAGAGCATCTTGGGCTCAGCGGTTCGTTGGTGGGTGTCACAGGGGTGGGAGTTGGTGGTGAGGATGAGGCTCAGCGCGGTACTCATGTTGCTTTATTGTCATTGCCCAGGTTCACCATAAGGCTGCAAATTGATCGGTATTTTGGTTGGTTTTTTTCATCCGGAACATAAACAAATCATATACTCCAAGTAGCAGCAGGAGGAGGAGTAGATGGATAGCTAGTTACATTTGGGAGGGTTGGCGCTTCCGGGTGTTATCGCCACCATTGTTGCACCGCAGAACGGGAGAACATGAAGATGGATTTGGAGGAAAAGGTTGCACCCCTCTCTCTCTCTCTCTCTCTCTCTCTCTCTAACTTGCATGTGGAAGATAGAGGACGTCAGTTGGGCCCCACTGTCATATAGGATGAAAGGTGGATTTTATTGCTGAAAGTTCAAGTGCCATTAATTTGGTTTTGGTGATTAATGACAAATCCAATTACATGAGACTAACATTGTTATAAGCATTTCTTTGTCTACTAGTCTCATATGGATATGAAAGTGGAATATGTGAGAGGTGATTTCCGGACTTTATATGAGTAAAGAGAGAAACGTTCATTGATGGTGTTCCTAAATCACAAGGATGAAATGCATAGAGATCAAACTATATATGTATCACTCTTTCTCTCCATGTACATATTGATGTGTTCATATATAATATTTTTCATGTGAATAACAATATACATGTGAGACTAATGTTTTGTTTGAGCCATATCTTGTTTAGTCTCTTTACATTGATAACATGGAGATGATGAAGGTATATTTTTATTTTAATGCCTACTTGATAAATTCCTTCTATTCTTGTATAGGATAAGCATCAATCATTTGAAGAATATATGGTAAAACGGTATCGGCATTGGCGTCCCTCAAGACAATGAAAGAAAGATGAAAAAAATACATTCCTAATGGTATAATTATCTTCTTATTTACATTTGAGTTTAGGAATGCCGTACTATTAAGAGGGATGCAACGTCGAGGTGTTTGTGTATGTCTCGGTGCTCAAAGTGACCTATCATAGTGCTACCTTGAGAGAAACCCAAGCTTTAACCTATCTTTTGAGTAGTTTTAGACCTTGTTTTTGGTTGAGTTGGGTAGTCCTTTGAGTGAGCTTTCCATAGAGTCCAAGTTCATTAAAAATAGACTCCCGAGCGAAAAGTTATAGTTGTTTTACTCTGTGCTTTTCGGAAACTCCAAAAAATTTTCGGATTTATCCGAAAATTTTCGGACATTCCGGAAGTGGCTGCGAATCTGAGATTTGCTTCTGTAAGTTATCGGACTTGTCCGAAAATGCTTTTCGGAAACTCCGAAAATTACAGTCTTGGCCTCCAACGGCTAGTTTTTGAGGGGCTCGGGTATATAAACTTCTCCACCCCTCCTTTGAGTGGCTGCTGCTCTTGGGAAGTATTAGACACATCCAAAGCCAAATAGCCATCCCCATTTCCCATCCTTTGTGGTGCCTCTTTGTGAGGGGGATTTGAGAAGGGAAAAGAGTTGGGTTAAGAGAGTGAGGAGTTGAGAGCTAGTGAGCTTCACTCCATCCTTTGTGGTGCCTCTTTGTGAGAGGGATTTGAGAAGGGGAAAGAGTTGGGTTGAGTGATTGAGAAGTTGAGAGCTAGTGAGGTTCACTCCATACTTTAAGCACTCGAGTTCATAGCAAGCAAATCTTCGATTGTGTTTTGTTACTCTTGGGGACTAAGGTCTCCTAGACGGCTAGGCATTGCCAGTGAGCACCCAAGGTTGTGGTGTGCCACGGAAAGTTTGTGAAGGCTTCGATTTCACCTCC